GACTCAATGAAACAATTGTTCTTTTGCTTACTACACTTTAGAGTTGAATTTGAGAACATGAATCATTTCCTTCTTTCTTTATAATGTGGGGAATTCAGAGCTCCTTTTGTTCAGTTTAAGGAAAGAGGAGAATTAGGAAAATAAATCAAAGGCAAGGCAGTGATTATATATGTCATGGAGTTTTTTTTTTTTATTGTCGTCCTGGGACTGGAGAACTGAAGGACAGCACGTGTGGGCCTTATCTCTTATCTCCTACCAGGAACAAAACAATAGTTCAGACCATAAAGGAATGCAAAGACTGCAGAAGGACTGTTTCACCCTTCCCACCCAGAAAGGATTTGCTTCAATGTTTGTTTCTTCTTCCCCACTCCCCAGCCCCCACCTTTCACTTTTCCCTTTATAATACGTCTATAATCCTGCAGGCAAGAAGGTGGACCATTTATATTAAGTTAAGACTAACTTAGGGCTATCAGAGTCATTGCACCCATGTAAGAGTTCTGTATGGTCTTTCTACACAAAGAATGCAGAATGGAGTGTTTGGAAATCAACTGTTAAAAAAAAAAAAACCTGTTGGAAATAATTTCAGTCGCATCATGGCAAAAAGAACAGATTTTTAAAGCCAGCTGGGTGACCTTGGGCCAGTCCCTCTCTCTCACAGCCCTAGGAAGAAGAAAGCAAACCACTTCTGATCTCTTGCTAAGAAAATGTAAGGGACTTGTCCAGGCAGTCACCAGGATTCAAGACTGACTCAAAGGCACACACACAATTCTGTATTGGTACAAAAGAAGCTTATGATGACTTGGCTGATCTAAGTCCCAGTAGAACCTTTAGCATAACACTCAAGGCATCAGGACTGAGAAGGTCAAGATTCAAATCCACTCAGCCAAGACACCTGTTGGGTAACTTTGAGCCAGTCCTGGCTGGCTTTACAAATTTCATGAAGCTAGCTTTTAAGTAGAGTTTATTGAAGAAACCACAATGGGCACAAAAGACCTAAAAAAACAAGAAGTGGGAAGGAAAAAAAATACGCAAACAAGAAAATCATTTCAGAAATAGGGGAAATCCCTAAAAAGGTGTTGAAAGTTCAAGAAAAGCTGTTATCATTGTCACTTCTCTTGCAATATCTAGCAGCAGAGTGTGCCACAGAAATTCTTTAGGGTACAAGGGGGTCATATTGCAAACCACAAGTTGCCCACCCCTTAGCTTCTACATCTTTAGCCAGCCCAGTACTACCACTCCCACCATCCCCAGCCATAGGCATTCATACCTAACCACAGTGATGCAAACACAATGAAGCATACATTGTGACATCACAATGCCCAGTTCATCACTTGATCTTTGACCCAGCAAACCAGGCTGGCAAAGGCTACCCTAATGTACGCTAAACATCTCATCTGCATATTCTTTCTCTCTCCAAACATATCTGTAGGACATGATAAAATAGTCAAGATGGTGGCAGTGATGGTGTATTGCACCCGTGACACACTAATAATGAGGGGAGCTTCAGCTGCATCATCATGGCCACCATCTTGACTTTTTTTAAATCATACTCTGTGGATGTTCCTGACATTTCCTCTATTGCTTTCCTTGGGTTAAATGGCAGATTTTAAACTCCTCGAAGCAGGGCTATTCAGGTGTTCAGTGATGGTTGTCTATCAATCATCGTCATCTTTATAATCATCACTATCATCATCATAGACCTTTTTGAGGGCATGCCAAAGCCACAGCATTATTATCCATCAACAGTCACCCAACAAGCAATCAGAAGCTCAACAAATAACTTGATCCACCAAAAACCAAAACCAAACCTTTTCCCTACTTGAAACAGAAACCAGGACCTCTTATGAAACAGCTAAAATCAGGAACTGATCCATCGCATCATCTCAAAACCCACACTCCTGACCAAAGATGGTTTAAGATACCCAAACCACATTCTAATTTTTCCAAGCCATGAATTGGCAGTTTTTCTTAATAGGAAAGGAAATGTGTTTGTTGACAATTTAAAAGGCATTCTGATCTCACTTGTGCAAAAGCTGACAGCTTATACTACTAGTGCTTAGAAAGTCAGTCTCTGATGCTGCAGCTTAAACATGCCTATGGTAAATAAAGACCACCAGTTACTATAGGACTTTGGTTTTCCCAACTTATAAATGGCCACAAAATGGTTTCTTAAAAGCAGTTTGGGATGAACCAATTGCATTAGACTTTTTTTTTTTTTTTTGCAAAAAACAAAATGATTGAAAAGGTTAAATCCTGTTTCAAATCCAACTGTAAGCAAGAACTAGAAGAAAACCTTTAGGAACATAAAATAGATTACTTTATAAGGCCCTTTTTAATCACCTCAATTTTTTTTTTTCCTGAACATAAGAAAAATAATCCATGAAAAATCATTCAACGATACAATCCTATATACAGTACATCACTGTAAAAACCATAGAAGTAAATGGACCATCACACAAACCAATTTGAAATGAAATGGCACAGACATCTTGGTAAGAAATAAATAAAACATATGTAAGCCTAATAGGGCAAGTATAAATTTCCACATTTCATCCTCATTTGATCAATCCAAGAAGTTATCCAATCAGACGTCATTCTTTTTGTCCATCATTTAAGCCCTTAAAGTGTTTTCTGCCTGAGCAGAGTTTGCAAAATCTTTACTTCTCTAAGCAGTAAAACACTCAGACAAATCTTGAGCCATTTCCTCTAGCAAGATGGCTCTTCTCCAACAGCCTGTTCATAAAACAAAGCAGGCCAAACCACTCCTTGAATTGTGGAATGCAGAAGAAATTCCTTGCAGGAAAGAACTGGATCTTACCTCAAAGAATCCGACACAGGAATGATCTTGACCAAAGTCTGTGGACTGAATTTCTAGCACTTGGATCAGCAAGGTAGTCTGAAGCTCAGATGATAATGAGTCAGCTGCTCCAAAAAACTCCTCCTCCTTTTTCAGCTGACTGAGGCCCAAAATTTCCCCAGGCTGTTCCAGTGATTATGGTAACTCTTTCATGCCTATTAATAGCTACCGCTCACTTTCTACTGATCTTGTAAAATTCTCCAAAACAGCAGCAAGAAATCCAGCAGCATCCTTATTTAGCTTCATGACTAATTTCAGTAATTCATGAAAACGTTGAGGCAGCTTATGGTGTCCCAAACTTCTACAATTATTCTCAAAGTTTGATAATATCAAGAAGATCATGTTTCTCTCGTGCACTGATCAAGGCAAGAGGTCACAGCCTTCATGTTTTCCAGAAGAAGAAGAGTGTCACAAATCATTGCTTTGTTTGAGATGTAATTTAATATTTACATGGTGGTAATGAATTGACTTGTTTTACTTGAGATGTTAAATTATTGGGTTGGATAATTTATGGATCAGTTTGTCCTGGAGAACTGGTGTTTGTTTTAGTGTGTTAGGTGAAGTAGACTGTCATGTTGAACTATGTGTGTGTGTACACACACATACAATGGCATGCTATGTGCACACAATAATTGTGTTTTATTTATCTGTTTTTATTATTAGTATATTCTGTGAACCCAGCCACTCACTGGTTGTTGAAATTAACTTAGTTACTAAAGTGACTCATTCTCTGAGTTTGCACAATTCATGGAATGGTCTACTAGCTAAATTGTCCATGTTCGCACAACACACTGAGCCACACAAAAACTAACCAAGGTTGGCATCTTGTGCAAATGCAGCCCCTAATTCTGCAAGCCACTTAAGTGGGATGTACAAACCCAGATTTTGTGTGCCTTTGTAAAGACCCTTGAAGACCACGTGTGAATGGGAATCTGAGGAAAGATTAGTAATCTGCTCGGGACAAGGACAGCAATAGGTGGTTTTCCAGTTGCATTTCTTTTCTTGCAGCCTCACTAACAAGTGGGAAGCATAACCACCACTCACTTTCCTTGGGCAGGTTGGATAACAGTGTGTGGATATCTGGGATAAAAAGTTTAGCCATCTTTAAAGTTGCTTAAGTGACAGTTTGCCAATGTACAGATGTTCTGTGCTAGTGACTCAGTTGTTTTGGAATATGCTAAATCTGTGTCCAAAAATAGCCCAGCTAATAGGTTGTTGGGCCAGAGAAGGTGTGCTGGGTGAAGCAAGAGGGTATCACCTCATGCTTCTCAACAACAATTCCTCCACCCCACTGACCTGTCTAATTATTGGAAACGGGTTGAGATCTCTCTCAGAAGAGTGCTTGGTGCATGTTCAAAGATAGTCTGAGTGACCAGTCATTAGCACAGGGCAGAGGCTATGATGAGCACTGGGGGCACTCCTCCCTCTTTCACTCCCTGTCCCCTGGCTGTGCCTGTGACCTGTCACTTGAACTAAAAGGGGAATAAACAGGCAGAACTCTTGTCAATTTTACTCCAGCTCCAATGTATTCCAGATTGGTAAATACTCAAGCAAATGGTAGTGATGGTGGACAGTGGGCATGGTAGAAGTCTGGGAAGGTGGTACAAAATGGCACCATGAATTCTAAAGTAATAAAAAGTACAGCAACAAGCAGCCAGAAGCAGCCAAGAACCTGGAATGGCATTCATCTGAGGCAGAACCAGCAACATGCCCTTTCCCAGTTTATACCAACCTTCTGGACTAGTGTTCTTTCTAAGGAATGCTAATCTTGGTTTTTAAATACGAGTCTATTAGCCTTTTCAAGGACCATTGAACTCATGCTTAACACAGTTCTAGTGCTCTTTTAGAAGAGCCCTAAACATATGTACGCCGGGGCCAGTGTAATGTCCACTCCAGCATGATACAAACAGATGCATCTGAAGGAGCCAGTTGTCCTGTTTCTCCAGCAGCCCAATCAAAAATGGCCAAGATGGGCAGTGCACAGCTACTTCAGGTGGCCAATAGAAACTGAGCAGATTGTAGTCCCTGCCTGCATCATCTCCAGCACCATCAGTAAGGCATCGTAAATGGTTTGTATAGCAAAACTATAGCTGAAGATGAATTTAAGTTGCATCTACAGTTGGGCTAAGACTGGCTGAGATTAAGATGAGGTGGCAACATGGGACTTGTCCTTTAAAAAGGTATGGGGAGGCATCTTTGTGGTAGGAAAGCAGGAAGTGGGGGTGAGACCTATGGCTGGCTTCACACATCACCCTAAGCTTAAGGATACTAATTCTGGATTGCAAAAATGTAGATCATAACAAGATGTCAGGAAAAAGTGAGGGTTTTCAGTATCTCATTGCTGTCATCTAATGGCAGCTGGATCTTTGCAGTTTGATCTGGTAGTCTTAAGCCCTAATGGAAAGGTTCAAACATATGCTGAACCATAAATCATCATTTGCAAACTACAGTATCTGGGATCACATCTGCACTGAGCAGATGTACCAAATTTGGGTCAGCAAATGTGACGAAAGTGCTCCATCGGCTCACACACACTCAATTAACGCTGTCCTATAACAATCCTCCAAAGATATGATATTGTGTGTGAGCAACGCGGAGATGAATCATAATAACTGAGTCAGAGTATCCAATGGCAAAATATTGCAAATAAAAAGTATGCTGGTTACCTACATACCACAACCATTACCACGGAAAGCAAGGCCTAGAATAGCAAGTCAGTGAACAATTGCAGCACCAATCTAGTTAATCAGGTTGGATGTGTTTGCTTGACAGGATCTGACAGAGAGATCTAACCTACACGGCTTTGTTTTTCCTTGCTCTTTGCCACAACACTTTGCCTTAACCCTTAAGACAACAGGGAACTGTTCTGCACCTGGGAAAAATGTCACTTTCATATATTCATGTTGGTGTTTCCCCCTGGAAGCCACAAACCCGTGGCCTTTGATATAGTGCAACCAAGCTGTCAAAAGAAGTCTTCTCCCTTCCTAGTGCTCTTCAAACGTCTTGGGACTACAACCCTTGCCATCTCCAGCCCGCTGGTCTTATCATTCCCAACCAACTGGACATCAGGTGGAAAAGATTATTCAGTAGAAGTACTTGCAGTCTTCTCTTGGCCACGCTACCTGCTGTGAGGAGAGCAGAGGGGACATTCTATGGAGATGCCCAAGGTTCATACACATCAATTCTGCAAGATGCAACAAACCAAAGAAAGGAAACGGAGCTGCTGTTCGCTGCTGAAAGTCAGAGCCTGGCAAAAGCTGCTGTTCCATCCAGTTGCAGCAAATGGAAGGAAAGAAAGCAGAGCCTCTGCTGTACATCTAGGATTTTACGGCTCCCTCCATTCCTGAATGTTTCCTTCCCAGCTCCCAGCTGGTAGTTATGGCAACAACTGCCTGGGTTCGGAAGCTAAGCAGGATTAGGAGTGATGAATAGATGGATGGGAGGCCTCAATGAAATACCATGGCAGAAGTCTATAGTGGGAAATTCAAAAGCATCATAAGGCAATAGCAACCCGCTCTGTACTGCTGCCAAAAGCAATCCAAAGATGTGCCTAGAAAGTCACTGGGAAATAAGGTCTACGTGAAAGAGACTTTATTTTTTAATTAAGAAAAAGTGCCTGCGTTTCTTTTTTCCTTCCTCCAGTCCTATCCTTTTCCACCACATCTTTTAGATAGCAATAAATATATTCCAAAAGCATATAAACTTTTATTCTTGTCTTTTTAAAATCTTACTGCCATTAATGAGAGCTTTTCACTTTTGTTCTTCTCGATATTATTGTCTTTATCATGCCTTTTACCTTTGTTTAGATTTCACACTTACAAGAAATGTTTAGCTTGTCCTATTGCTCCTCTTATTAACTGTTCCTAAGTGATCATAAAAATACTTTAACGATATCCACATGGAATCGGATGTGGAACTCTGGCAGAAGTGAACGTGTTTGGTGCACCTCTGTTTGAAAGTCTGATCTAAATGCAACGTTAAGGGCCTTTCTGACTCCTTCCGAAAACTCCATGCAAATATGGACTTACGTGCAGCCACATTTAATTCTGTACTGGAGACTTCAACCATCAGCTGCCCAGAAGAGTAACTTCAGAGAAGTGATATCTAAACATTAAATAATCCATCAAGGGACATTGTATGAGGTAATCTAATAGCTAAAAGAGAGCCAGTTTGGTGTACTAGTGAAAGGCGTCAGGCTAGAAACCGGGAGATATGAGTTCTAGCCCTGCCTTAGGCATGAAGCCAGCTGGGTGACCTTGGGGAGACATTCTCTCTCAGCCCTAGGAAGACGAAGGCAAGGGCCAACCACCTCCAGAAAATATTTCCAAGGCTTACAGATTACTGTAGCTGGGTTTTTCACCTGTGGCTGAATTCACACATTACAAGTCAGGATGCAGTTTCTATGGTTTTGCTTAGCATACTGTAGAAACCCAGCCGTTGGGATGTCTAAGTGATGATTTATTGCTCTGCACAACGTGTGAGCCCAGGTTACTTGGGTAGACTTTGTAAACCCAGCCTAGGGCTGAGCTCTGAAATGAGAATTTAAAATGTACCTTTATCTGGATGCCCATTCTTTCCTGGGCACCTCTCCGCAACCACAACGAGACGAAAAGCAACAATAATAGGAACAACCCTGATCAGGGGTGTCCACGAGGGGGATTTAAAAGCCAAAGCAGCATCAGCGGCCATGTGCTGTCCCCTTTTTGGCTTGCATCATTCACACAGTGCAGGTTAAAAGGGGGCGGAGCTTCAATCAAGCAATCACGGCCCCCCCTTTTGACTTTTTCTAAACTGCCCTGCAGACACCCCTCAAAATCCAACAGCAGCTGTACCTTTCAGGATTGTTCTTTAGGTACACAATATGCTTCAAGCCCTCTAAGGTGCTTGAAGAAATGCAAAATAATACCACCATCCCTAAGCGGGGCCCATTCAGACCCAGATTTATTAGACGATGCAGATGATTCAAATTCCACAACCTCGGCATTCCTCACATTCTTTGAAGGACAGGTGTCCCATTCAAGTCCACACCCCAGCACCCTCATCCC